TTATTTTAAAAACTTTAAAGGATGTCTACCTCTTGCCCATAATAAAAGATGCCAGCTGCAGTACCCTTCTTACACCAAAAGGGGGCACTAACACATCCAATTGTAATCTCAAGGTTAAGGAGAAATACTGGTCCCTGCCATTTTAAGAGAAAACAGCAGGGAACCTTGATTCTCTCTACCCACTGATTTTTATCGCTGAATTTTGGGGAAGCCCTTGATTTAACTCCAACTTCAGCCATTCCCAAAGGTGAGTTGTCTTGAATCTACTCTCTCAAGCAGAAAGGCTATTCAAATGCTTATTTTGAAACCGAGTAAGTGTGCAAGAAAATGTCTAGTTTAATAGTCAATCAGCTTTTAACTTCATTTTTAAGAATAAATCTCCACCTAAAGGATCAGTGCAACATATTCTATCTTCCGTGCACTAGTTTTTCCAAATTTGTAAATATATGGTACATGTCAAAGAGAATTTAAATGTGGCTGAAAGAACTTAAAAAAACACACACACAAGGATTTATGGCCACAAAAGGAAAATTGTTCATTAATAAAGGGGAAACAGGTAGTTAACTTTTTATATGAACCATTATTTATGTAAATATACAGACATTTTCACACAGATTATTTTTCTTTGGTTACTTTTATATGAATAGTTCAAAGTAAATGATGCCATTTTTGAGTTGCAAGACACACTGGATGTGTTCACAAACTCAGATCCAAATTTTGTGGCTGCTACAGATTTATCCTTAACTAAAGATATGGCACAGAAGAATCAAGACAGAATACAAAGCTATCACTGTCAAAGACAGCCACGAATGCACCTGGCCAGCAGGTCAAAGAAATTTGTAGGAACCCCTTTCCAACTAGCATTCCTGTCAGGAAAAAAAGTTTTTCATTCATTAAAATAACCTATCATCCCCTTTGCCCTCAATTTCAGATTTATAAAGCACAGAAAACCAAATGGCATTGACTGCCCTTACCCAACAGAAAAGCCAGGTGGATGTGAAAGTGCAAACTTTTGAACCAAGTTAATAAAGAATACGATTAAAGATACCAAATGCAGTGCCGAAATCCTAATGGAATGGGTAAAGGCATAAAACTCTCGCTAAATTTGTTATTTCTGGATTCTGTTTCCTTGATCTCTCTGTTGGCTCTTTTGCAAGTACCACACTGTCTTTATTACTGAAGTTTTATAATGTCATTTTTTCCCCCTTTTAAAATAATGTCTTGATGTGAATATTCCAAGTCCTCCAATTTTGTTATTTTTCAAGATGGCTTTGTATTTGCTAGGTTCTACATATTTCCATAGACATTTCAGAATGAGCTTGTCAATTTCTAAAGAAAAATTCTTCTGTATTGTATTGAATCTATAGATGAATTTGGGTAGGACTGAGATGTTAACAATATTGAGGCTTCCATCTCATGAACACAGCATAGCTCTACTCTTAGCGACAGTTCTTTGGCTTCTCTCTGCAGTTTTGTAGTTTTTAGTATAGAGGTCTTGCACATTTTGGGGGGTTAAGTTTATTCCTATTTTATGATTTTGATGCCACTGTAAATGAAACTTTAAAAAATTCATTTCTGATTATTTGTTGCTAGTATATAACAAATAAAACTGAGTTTTGTGTATTAACCTAATATCCTGTAACCTTGCTAAATTCACTTATTACTCCTACTAGTTGCTTTGCAAATTTGTTAGGGTTTTCTATGCACACAATCATGTCACCTGAAAATTGAGACAGTTTAACACCTTCTTTTCCAGTTTTTGTTTTTTAAAAAAAAGTCTTCATTGATTTCAGAGAGGAAAGGAGGAGTGATACAGAAACACCAATGATGAGAGAGAGTCATTGATCGGCTGCCTCCTGCCGCCCCACTAAGGATCAAGCCTGCAACCCAGGCACGTGCCCTGACCAGGAATCAAAGACGCGCGATCTCCTGGATCCTAGGTCGATGCTCCACCGCTTAGCCACACCCGGCCGGGCTCTCTTTTTTCCTTGATTAATCAAGAAATCAAATTTTGTTGATCTTTTCCAAAAACAAAATTTTGGCATTGTTAATTTTTTTATTCCATTGATTTCTTTTACCTTTATAATTCCCTTCCTTCTACTTACTTTGGGTGTACTTTGGTCTTCTTTTTCTAGCTTCTTAAGTTAAAACCTTAGATCATTGGATTTAGATACTTTTCTTTTCTAACCTAAGTATTTAGAGCTGTAAGTTTCCCTTTCAGCACTGTGTTCCCCAAATTTGACATACTGTATTGTATTTTCATTGTCATTCAGTTTAAAACATTTACATTTTTTCTTGTGATTTCATTAAGCTATAGATTATGTAAAAGTGCATTTGCTTAATTTCTAAATATTTGGGAACTTTCCTAGTTTTTGATCTTATTTTCCTTGTTTTAAAATTTCATTTCATTATGGTCTTAGAACATATTTTGTATTATCATAATCCTTTAAATTTCCTGAGTTGTCTTATGGCCTAACATATTGTCTATATTAGTGAATGTACATCTTCTACACTTGGAAAAGAACTAAAGACTGATACATCTTACTGAAGTAGTTTATATTTTAAAAGATTTATTTAAAAAGTATGATAATTTTAAAAGGTTTTCAATTCTGAAACCCACAAAGAAAGACCTGTCATCTTCTTGGTCTAATTATACTGGTCTTCCTTAATTATCATCTAAAAATATCTACTAATCATAGAATTTGGTCAGTGACAAATATCTTAAATTTCCACAGCCCTTTTTACTTCTCACACTAAATAACTCAGTTGAGAATTACTAATTAATATGTACATAGAACTTTATTTACTACAACGCTATAAAGCAGGGCAAAATAATTATCACCATATTAACAAGGTAGATGCTGAACCTGTTAGGCCAGTTGTCTAAAGTCACACTAAGCAGGAACTTGCGAGAATTAGACACTGGAGGTCTGGTATCCTAATTTCTATTTGCCTCATCACTCAAAAGAACTACTGTAAGAATGGTAACAACTCATGAAGAAACCTAAGATACACCAGAGTCAGAGAATCATATTATTGAAATGATATTAGAGATCATCTACTTTGCCTGGCAGGGGTGTCTCAGTGGTTGAGTCTGAGACCAGAAACCATGAGGTTACCCAGTAGATTCCCAGTAAGGGAACATGCCTGAGTTTCAGGGTCGATCTCCAGTAGGGAGCAGCTGATCGATGATGTTTCTCTCTTATCGATGTTTCTATCTCTATCCCTCTCCCTTCTCTCTCTCTAAAAGTCAATAAAAACATATTTAAAAAATAAAGATCATCTACTTCAACATCCTCATTTTACAGATAAGGAAAATGAAGCCCCAAAAGGTGATGTAACTTAATTGTTCAATGTCACACTTCTAGACACAGTAAAATAACAATGAGAATTTAGCATTTCTAAACCCAAGTTCAATAATCTTCAATTAACAGAAAATAACAGCTATCCTTTACCGCCATTTCAAAATTTTCAGTTTATAATAAAGCCTCCATGTTTTCATTGATAATTAACAATTCATTCACTTAATTAACAAATAATTATCCAGCCAGGCCCTATACTTGATGCTAAATGAACATCTACTGTCCTAAGCACTGTGTTACTTGTATTTTCACATTTCACCCTCACAATACTATTATAAATTATTACCTCTATTTTAAGGATTAACATTTAGGAAGATCAAGTTATCTGCCCATAGTCTTTAGTCAGGAAATGCCTTTATAAAAGGTAAATGGTACCCTTCTGCCACAGCAGCCATGGCTCTGCAGTACCCTATGGACATGGGCCTCAACAATGGCCACAAAGTGACCAAAAATGTCAGGAAGCAGAGGCACAGCCAGGGTCTCGGACACCTCACCAAGCACATCAAGTTAGTGCAAGTGGTCAGGGACAAGATCTGAGAGGTGTGTGATTCACTCCTTATGAGGGGCACCCCCATGGGAGGAGCTGAGCAGTGTTCTGGCTGCAAGAGAAGAGGAAACCAGTTGCTAAGGACTGAGGCCCCTCCCCACTCTGTGCATAATAAAACCTTACAGAAAAAAGGGCAAGTGGTAAACACATAAGTTTATACTAACAATCTCATTTTTGTTTTAAATATTGTAACTCCCTGTATGATTTCACTTGAAAAAAGGGATCTATTGTCAAAAGTCTGAAAAACCATAGATGCCCACATAGCACCTAACACTGACCATAAAGTACAGAAGTTGGTATCATTTTGAGGATGACGGTCCTTTTGGAGGGCCTTATATATCCTTTTTTTCTTACACTTTCCAAGACCCCAGAACAGATAGCATTTGAAGTAATTTAACTGAAGGCAACTGCTAGGAAAGTAATCATTCAAATAAAAAGAAGATAAGGGGAAGGGCTTCCAGTATCATATAATGAGTTTGGCCTGAAGAATATTAAATAAGGTCCAAAGTAGAAGAATTCATGAGTTGTCTTAAGTATTACTCACAAAATAGTACTAAAATACAGGTTACCTACTTTCAGAGCATAAAATCTCTATGGTATAAGATGAAATTAATTAAAAATTTCATTTACTGTCTATCCCAGCAGGGATTCCTTTATCTTTGATTGCCAAATAGATTTCTCAAGGCCCAAAGCCAAAAACCCAAGTGCTAAGTAGTGCTATTATTATGGAGATTTAAAATAAGCTTTGTAAATAAGTTAGAGCATAAAGATATTCTTAAAAAGTGTTCACCCTAGGGTCAACCAATAAGGAAAGGAAAACCTAGAAAAAAACTGGAGTAAAAAAAATTTTATTTTAGAATATTAATTTTAACAAGTAGTCTACTGCTTTGGGAAATATTTGTATAAGAAAACCAAATCCAGCAACCATTAAAAAAAAAAAAAAAATCTACCTTTCCCCAAATTTACAGTGTGTTTTTATCCTAGCCATAATTTTGGTGATACAAATCAGAGACTAAGAAAAATGGCACTCTGATAAATAATCAATCATAGCAGAATTAACCACATGCAGTATTTCTAATGTAAATGGTTACCTGAGAAGTCTGTCAGAAGTCTTGCTAGGACATGCTTGTTTACCAGTTCAGTCTTGCTAAGGCTGGAAAGAAAACCTACACTAGTAGCTTCTTTGATAACAGTGGGCTTTTTGGAAATCCCAATATCAGATCCAGTCTTGACATCTGTGGATTCTAGGACATCATGTGATCCCTGTGGATGAGAAGATTCTGGAGCAAATGTGAAAGTCTGTTTGAGTATTTCTTCAGAAGGAGATTCTACTTTATCCTGTGTGGGAGCAGACTTCTCAACCTGCCTTTCATTCAGTTCTTTAAGGGCTTTGATTGTGAGCTGTTCCTGTTCGAAGTCAAGAGATGCTACTGAAGTACCTTGGATGGGGAAAATATCCAGAAGCTCGTTTCCACTTGGTTTTTTGTTTTGTTGAGAGTATTTGCTTTTTATGTCTTTAATTTCAGAACCTCCTGACTCACTTTCATGCAAGACTTCTACAGGAGTTGTTGTTTTGAAGTCTGTTGTCTTCTTTGATGTTGCTTCAAATGCATTTCCTTCACTTTTATCTACTATTCCTTTCTCCCTGGTTTCTGTAAAAGCTACTATCAGGTCCTCTGGGGAAGAATCATCTATATCTTTAATACTTTTTCCATGTAATGACTCCAAATAGGCAGAGGCTGTCACATTTAGTGAAAATTCTGTCTCATTAAAAACATTTGAAGATGTTCCTGAAGGAAGTTTTTGGTCCTCAGTTTCAACAAACTTTTCAGGAATAATTTCACTCATTCTGTCTGACTGTTTCACATCTCCTGACATGATGTTCATATCGCGTACTTGGGAACATGCCACCATACCAGCTGGACTCCTTTTAAGAATATCAGGCTGAACTTTTGGCTCAGAGTCATTGATAGACCCTTCAAAGTTTTCAGATGTTTTGGTTTCCCTATTATAATTAAGAATCTCTTTGATTTCTCTTTCATCTGCTTTTACAATAGCACTAGAAATGGAAATACGTTTTTCAGCCTGAATTTTGTTACTTTCAAATGAAGTATCGGCTGTGATGTCCTCTATTACTGTGTCATCAGACTCACCAGAACTATCGGCCTCTGTCCCTTCTCCCAACACAGAGCTCTGCCAGTTCATTTCACCTTTCAGGTGGCCATCAGGTAAAACCACATTCACTGTGGCCACTCCAGAACCCAAAGAGACACATTTCTCAAATGGAGACCCAGGTAACTCTGAAAGTGTGTCATCTTGTTTCTGCATATTGCCTCGAACACCTCTGATATTGGCGTCTGTTATGGAATTGAAACAGTCTGGTATAGGTTTTTCAATGACAGCATTTTCTTGTGGGAGAGATGATTCTGCCCAGTCATCTGTTGACTTAGTGATGGGAGTGCTCCCAGTAATAGAACATACAGGAATTTTCTGATGAGTGTTAGTTTTAAGATTTACAACTGGAATTTTTGAATTATATTCACTCATGTCAAGTCCTGTAGCTTTTGTGATATAGTCAGATTTATCGCTCTGCTGTTTCACTTGGGGAACCAAATCCCAAGTCAGTATCTCATTAGTAAAGTTATGCATATCACTCACACATCTAGACACCTCTTCCAGCGCTGCAGTTGTGTGTGAAAACTGTCTAGTAAGCAATGCAGAGGTTGGGTAACGCCCTGCCTCTTTATTTCTTAGTGGAAATACTTTGTCATTAGACTCTGAAATGTCTGCAGATGATTCTCTATCAGTGTGCATTGCCCAGCTACCAAAATCATTTGCGTTCTCCTTATATGTATCTTTAAATTCTTTGTCAAATGCTGCTTTGTCAATAATTACTTCAAACGGTGACTCAGGGGAATCCTTTTCAGCGATCCCAGCTCCCGGAACTGTGCATGGGGACAAGGAGCGTGCGCAAATGCCTCCTGCCTGGGACGGCTCAGTGTGTGGTTTCTGGGCAGTGAGCACAGTGAACTTGTCATCAGCATCCAAGGCAGTTTTGTCATCCCTACTTGGTATCTCATGTGGGTTCTTGGACTCTTGATCTTTATTTATTTGCTCCTCCATTTGAACAACTTCCTTTGAGAGAAAAGCAAGACGATCTGGGAAACCAGCTGGAATGGAAGGATGGTTACCGTGACCTCCTTCTGCAACAGAAACTGGGGAGTTGGCTCCGTCTTTACTGGTCCCCTGAGGCTTTTCCATCTCTTTCACATCTAGCAGAGCCAAGCAGTCTTTCCCTTTTCCTTCTTTGGCTAAAGCAGGCTGGCTGCCTAACTCTTTGCTTTGTTCTCCATGTAGTATTGCAAGGTCAGTGTTACATGTTTCAGAAGATGAAAGAAAGGAGGAAGTTCTAATTTCTGAAGGTGGCTCATTAGAGCAAAGAGAGCTCAATCCCTCTATGGTTAGAATTTGAAAGAAAAAAATTGTTTACCAACTACAATTACACATTAGCTAGTGAGGCCAAGCAGCATGCTTTTTATTTTTAAAATTACATATATATACACAGGATGTATATATACACACACACAAATATTTAACACAATGCCAACAGTTATCCTATAGGACATGCATAAAATTGTCATAGGAGAAACAGAAAAGCCACATCATGCTACAGACTGCAAATAACAACAACAAAAAATTCACGACAAATGCTTTTCAGTCTGCTTTTTCCACTGTAAAGGGAAAGCATAAAGAAGAAATGAGACTGAGAAATCTGGGGAAGTTTTCCCACCTTTGTTTGGTAGAGCTATTTAACAGAAACAACGCAACCCATATAAAACAATATGATATTATGAAGTACTAATATTCTCTTATCTGTAAACTGAACAATTCAGAACACACCACTTCTACAAAATCCACTGTTACAGTTTGAGAATCTGAGGGGGGGAAAAAGTGAACAGTTTTTTTTTTATTTTCAGGAGATACAGTGAACCCCCTTCTGAGCCTAAAAATCAGACTAGAATTATTCTGTTCTGCCCATTGGGAAGACTGGTCTCAGGTAGAGATGGCCTCAACATTTTAAACTAAAGGTACTGAAAAAGTTGGCCTGTTCCAAAATCTCTTGCACCAACTTGCCAATTTAACCAAAACAGAACTGTACAAATTGGTTTCCTAAGAAGAGTTAACTCCAGAAATCCTTTTAAAACAGAAAATGTCCTTCTAGCTTGGCTGGTGTGGCTCAGTGGTTGAGTGTAGACCCATGAACCAACCAGGAGGTCATGGCTCGATTCCCACTCAGGGCACATGCCTGGGTTTAGGCCCAATCTCCAGTAGGGGGTGTGCAGAAGGCAGCTGATCGACGATTCTCACCACTGATGTTTCTATCTCTTTCCCTTTCCGTTCCTCTCTCTGAAATCAATGAAAAAAAACACCCAACCATATTTTAAAAAGAAAACAAAAATGTCCTTCTAAAAAGTACACATCAATTAAGGTGTATCAGTTATTAATATCACAGTAGCCACTGACGGACCAACCTCCCAATCTAGCAAGTGTCTACTGAGGAGAAAGATCAAAACCACCGCTCCAAGGGCAGGCGCTATCGTGGTGCATCCTGCACACTGTTGTATCTTTGGAGTTGGGACAAAGCAGGTCTTAAATCATTCCATACGAATGAATCAAAGATGCAGGTTGAACAGGGGAGACCTAAGAAGACTAGAGACAGCAATGCCTTGAGTGTGAGTAACTGGGAAGATGTGAAAGAGAAAAACCTTTGGGATTACCCTTATTCAGCTTATATTCTTGTTCATGTGAGAAGCTAACTAATAATTAGACAAAAGAAAAATTACTTTAATAAAAATAATTTTATAAACATGAAAATAAAAATAAAGTATCTTACTGTAATGAATAAAATTCCACTATTATAAAAATGTTCCAAGTGCCAGATAACGCTCCTCTATTTCAAGACATCACTGAAATTTGATGTTATAGGGACTGGACCTTTAGAACAGTATGACTGTAATCTGGGTAAGAGGTCTTTGTTTCATAAACAGGGGAAAAAGTTTGGTGGTACTGACTGCACTAGTGGGACAGAAAATTAAGCTGTAACTCATATTTAGTTCTCATGTAGTAAACATGGTCACATCTATCATTACATAGTATGGATATTCAGCAAGACTGGATTAAGGATATAAATGAAGCTCAACATTGTAGGTTAAAAGGTTCAAAAACCTGAAATTTAGAGAACTATAGGCTATATTTAAATCAGAAATATTCCACAATCTGAGCTATGTATTGTTATTAAATTTACTAGTTACTGTTTCTACCAGGAAACATTCAATGGACTAAATCTGGATTAAGGTAAAACTGTTTGGGAACCCCCTCCCTTCAAACAGGAATAAAACTTTGAGGTATGTAAAACTGACTCCACCTCAGAGAATGCTCAGTTTACATGTTTTATAGAGAATGAGATTTCAGACGATTCAGACCTGTCACCTTACAGGCCAAAGTGGGCAAAATGAATTACTAATAATTCAACAAAAATTTATTGAGTGCCTACCATGTGCCAGACACCGGTGATTTTAGAAACGAGGTTAAAGGCAGAGGAACAAAACAGAAAATGTCCTTCCTTCTGTGGCGCTTACAGTACAGAACGGGAGACAGACAATAAGCAAAACTGGGAAGTAAAATGAGCATGACTTGGCCATGGGCTTGATGAAATGAAAAAGCACGCAACCCACGCTGACTGCTAATCAGAGCATACACAGCGCCCACGGTGGGGGTCACGGGGAACATGGCAGAAACATTCTATGCTTTGTCAGGACACAAACCTGTCAGTTTCCCAAGCCCTGCTCCTCTCCTATCTTTCTTGAACTCTTAACACTCCAAAAGCATTTTAATTAAAGATTCTGTAATATGAAAAGATGTTTCCTTGGCTAGTTAAAACCCTAACAAACTTGGACAGAACTGAGTTGCACCAAGACAATGAGAAAAAATGGAATGGAAATAAAGAGTTTATAAAGAAATGAAAATAGCCCAGGTGGCATGGCTCTGTGGTTGAGCATCAAGCCATGAGCCAGGAGGTTACAGTTCGATTTCGTCAGGGCACATGCCCAGGTTTAGGGCTTGATCCCCAGTAGGGGGCGTGCAGGAGGCAGCTGATCAATGACTCTCTTATCATTGATGTTTCTATCGCTCTCTCTCTTCCTCTCCCTCTAAAATAAAAAGAAATGAAAGCATTAAATAGAACAAAGACCAGAATCTAATAAGCCTTTTAGAACAGCTCCCATAAGCAAAGACTTCCAATAAGTCAGTACGGCACTTAATAAGTCACTGGTATTGTCCAAGTCTGTATCTGGTAAAATGGCAGAAAACTCCAGGGAGTTTGAAGATTGCTTGTTTTTAAAATACTATATATACACTGTAAATCTCCCTGATGAAATAACTCCAGATTATCTTACATCTCAGAAAATGTTCAATACCCTCTGCTCTTTCAAAAGATAGCCCTTCACATGCAATAAAAGAGACTTTTAACATCACTCAAATGTCTCTCAAAAAATTCCCTCATCATGGATATTTTCTAGTTATTTGCTGTAACAGGATTCAATGTGCACATTCATTTTCAAGAATTCTAATCACTTAAAAATATGGCATTATTCTATTAACAATGGCCACACATCTACTACTAGAAGGGACTCAATACATGGTGAGAGAAAAACGTCTTAACCTACGACCACAGAACATCCCCAATGACCCAGCACTGAGCTCTTTGTTTACCCTTATCTTCTTAAGCTCTAAATTCTGAAAAAATATTAGAAAATTAAGTTGGCAGTCATTCTAAATTTCTAGACCATGCCCAAGCCAAAAATTCCAATTAAAAGATGCAAGATCCTTTCACTACACTTACCAATCACATGGCCTGGGCAGATTGTTAATCTCACCTAAAAATGGGGATACTAAATCATCTAACCTGAGAATTGCTGTCAGGATTAAACTGAATTAATACGTGTGAAGTGCTCAGAACAGTATTTGGCACTTAGCAAATTCTCAATAAATGTTCCCAAGCAGCACATTCTAAAAAATAAAAATAAAAATAAATCTCCCCTGACATAGAGACTCCAGACCATCTGCCTTTTTATTAGGGAAGAGAAAAAAGACATATTGTCAAATCATAACCACCTCCCCTGGTATATAATACAGAAAATCTTCATTCAGAGTTTTAGACACTTTCCCTCCTACCATTCACAGGTAAAAGAAAGGAATTTAAAGAGCTTTTATCCACTTCAAATTTTGGGTGATGCAACTTCTAAATCAGTTAGTACAAACCAAATGCCTATGATATTCCAAAAACTGTGCTAGGTTCTATGTGGATAAAGACATTTAAGGCAGCCCAATATAAAAAAATTGTAAGCCAATGCTGAAAGATAAGTTTCCTGAACGAAATGTTTTAGCAAATGATCTTTATCACCACCAAGGTCAAAGTATATGTTAGTTCAATGTCCCACTAGCTGAATGATTTAATAACCTAGCACAAAAATAGCCTTTGGCACCATCGTTTACAGTCCCTTTCAAACTTTACAGCAACCACTGGTACTTCACTAGTACTTCACAGGCTTTATCTCTGACTTACTGACTCAGAATTTCCAGAGGAAGATAAAGCTCAGGAATCTGCACGATAAGTTTCCCAGGTAATGAACCTGGTTTGAGAACCATACCTTTACTGTATTTTATTAGTTCTAGAAGAGCAGAAAAATTGAGCTGTATTTCAGAACTCTAGTCCTGTAAAAATCCCACAGATGACACTGACACTGTCACTCCTCACCAGACTGTCCCAGAGCACAACGTCTAGGTTAGTAGGGGATGGGGCTGGAGTTATCCTTGTGCCTGCTTTAAATACATCTATACACTAATTGTAAAGTACACTAACTTGAAATTTTGATTGGAATAAGGAAAAGTTCCATTCAGCTAGAAAATACGGTAAGGAAACTGAGGTAGAATTTTCCCTCTTCTATGCCAAGTATTTTATTTTACAGGACACAATGGGAGTTAAAAATGACATGATGAAAAAACTTCCAAGTGAATGCTCTGTACACATCAAGTAAATATAGTCAAACTAAAAAAACCCACACACATTTACTCTATGCTTCAAAATATCTTTCTTATTCCCTAAACTGTCCTTTA